GGAGACAATTAGGTCAGAAAACATCAAATTATTCTTCTTGCTTTTCTTCTAACAATAGCCTGTTAATATCCTTTTGATAATAATAATTCAGAACTAACTGCAGAATTCCAGGGGCAGAGCCGTATAGACATTGCATGACATTCCTGTTTATGCAACTCTAAATTATCCTGGGCTTTTTGTAATGCAAATTCCATGTCTAATGAACTAGCCTATAAAGCCAATATGCTCTCCCCCTTTAAATCCCTCATTTAGGCCCACTTATTATTAATAATTATTTTTATTTCTGTAGCATCTAGGAGCCCCGGTCATGGATCAGGGCCTCATTGTGCTAGGCACTGTACAAACACAGACAAAAGAGATGGTCTCAGCTCAGTAGAGCTTTCAATCTAAGAACAGGACAAAAAATAACAGGTGGATACAGACAGTCAGATCACAAGCAAACAATGAAATAATGCTTCACTTTGAGCCTTACTGAGATTGCCGAATCAGGCCCTATGATAGTCAGATTTCCCAGGACACTATTGAGTGTTTTACTAAATTCCATGGGTGGAATTTTTAAGGAAGAGCCGGTTGGAGAAATTCCAAACACTTTTTCATTGGAATTTGCCAATTTGTTGAAAGCTAAATGTTCTGTGGAAACAGTTAAATTTCAGTGAAGCTCCTCTGGAACCCAGGCAGAGTTCCATCGACCTGTCTGGTTTTCTGCCCGACTCCTCGGCAGCCAGCCTGGTGGGCTGTGGGGGAGTCCATAGCTCCCGGGCAATGTCAGCTGATTGCAGCAGGACTACTCAAGAGCTTAAAGTTGAACACATGCATACGTGCTTTGCTGAACTGGGGCCAGAGTTCCTCCACACTTTGTGGGATTAAGCCCCCTTACACAAACCTCTCAAAGCACTTCAAAGTCTTTATTTAATTAATTGACCTCAGATCACCCCTCAGACGAATGCATTACTTATCACAATTTTACATACAGAGAAACAGAAGGATGTACAAGTCAGTAGTGAAGCTCAACATTCCCTGATTCCCAGTATCCTGCTCTATTAGAGTACTTCTGTATTGTACGGTGACCATAGGCAAAGCCTGTATTTACTATACCTCCTAAAACTCTGAGGGAGAGGAAGAGATGGAACTAATCCCTACATTTTTCTCTAAGAATACTCTTACTCCTCCTCTTTTTCCATTATGAAGATATTTTCTGACGATCTAATCATTCCATGCTATTGGAAAAGTGAGCTTTACTAAGAAAATAATATTATTGGCCAAATTCTCCACTCAGCTGTGGAGTTGCCCTGGTGGCACTGCATGGCTCTTTGAAAATTGCAGGGTATGGCTGTGCTGTGCAATCCTTGTTTTTGGTTAGTAACTGGCTATTTCTACAGCAAAATGCAACCTTAAGCACCAGAATTTGTAATCTTTCATTGTGTTTCTTCCCTATAAATATATCTCAGCTGTGTCTTTGGTGAGACAAGGGAATTTTGTTTTCTAGTCTGTTTGCCCTATTTTTCCATTGTATATTTCACGTGTCTACGAGAGAATTGCCCCATAGGATGAAAATCAAATGAGCTGATCTCAAAAAGAATTGCATGGTCTATTTAATAGAACTTTTTAAAGTAAACTTTACCAAACACCAAAAAAAAAAAAATCTAACCCTTATCCCCAGATTAATTCCACTGAGATGGGAAGACTTTTTTTTCCAAGTTAATTTAACATATATGCACCTCTATTTGGAGGAGGACAGTATTTGAAATGTGATTTATACATATACTGCACAGAAAAATAAAAACATTGTCAAAACTTTTTTTCAAGTCTTTTATTGAGGACATGTATGTGTCTGAGCCCAAATCCTAAATCTTATAATCTGTTTGAAGGGGTTACATCAGAGCTTCTAATCTTATTTACAGAATACTCATATGTCTATAGTTCACTTTAATATTCAAAATGGAAAAGTCTGGAAAAAGTGATTTTTGTCACCAAATTCTTTGTGTGATCATTTTCACAACTTTTAAAAGACTGTGTCAGCCTTCAGCACATTTGTTAAAGTCTACTGAGACATAATAGCTTGGTTATATTCAGGGCTGGCTCCAGGCACCAGCTTACCAAGCAGGTGCTTGGGGCAGCCACTTCAGAAAGGGGCGGCACGTCCAGCTATTCGGCGGCAATTCGGTGGACAGTCCCTCACTCCCGCTCGGAGCGAAGGACCTCCCGCCGAATTGCAGCCGCAGATCGCGATCTCGGTAATTTTTTTTGTTTTTTTTGGCTGCTTGGGGTGGCCAAAACCCTGGAGCCAGCCCTGGTTATATTCTTTCAGAAGGGACAATGGGTGAAATCTTGGCCCCATTGCAGTCAATGGCAAAACTCCCATTCTCTTCAGTAGGTTTCTATTCAACCCATACATTTGTTTATTTCTATATAGAGCATTTTGGAATAGACAAGAGATTACTTAAATCAAACCTCTTCTTATAACACCAATATTTGTAAGACTGCTATCACACCCTATAAAATGCCATTAGAGTTCTCTGACTTTTTTAAGTTCATACTTAAACTAACATAAAATTGGCATTAGATTCTGTATGCAAGGAGGACTAATCTCTCATACTGCTATAACCCAGCTAAAATACTTATAGTACTTTCCTAATCCAGTACTCTACTATTTCTTGATCTACTAAAGTATATATGTGTGTGTGTGTGTGTGTGTGTGTGTGTGTGAGAGAGAGAGAGAGAGAGAGAGAGAGAGAGAGAGGAGGGAGGGGGGGGGGGGGGA